TCACAAGGGCAAAGACACACGACACAGGATGAAGGGGAAATCGTTAGAAACCTTCACAGAGGAGATGCACGAGGCTCTGCAAGGTCTGTGGCTGTCATGCCAGTTTGGATGGACACGTTAAAGGGATAGTTCACCCAAAAATGAAAATTAAGTCATCATTTACTCGCCCTCAAAGTTGTTCCAAACCTGAATGAATTTCATTACTCTGCTGAACACAAAATAAGATATTTTTAAGGAATACCATTTTGTTTGGTAACCAAATAGTTGACCCATTGACTTCCATAAATACTATACTAAGTCAATGGGGTTCATCAACTGTTTGTTTACCAACATTCTTCAAAATATCTTTGTTTGTGTACGGTAACAGAAAGAAATTCATACAGGTTTGGAACAACTTGAGGGCGAGTAAATGATGACTGAGTTTTCATTTTTGGGTGAACCATCCTTTTAAGTGATTGTCATGTTTTTTTTAAAACATATCAGCTTAGATTTATGTCACAGACTGAATTACTCTCTGTAATAAAGCTTGACACAAATGAGGTTATATGTTGTCAGTGTATTTGTGTGGGTTTTTTCTTCAGCCAGTGAGGATGCAGATTCAGGGGCGTCAGGAGGTGTAAAGTTGCCCTGTCCATTGGCCATGTGGGATCTGGGTCACTGTGACCCTAAACGCTGCACAGGACGGAAGCTGGCCAGGAAAGGTTTAGTGCGCTGCCTTCGACTCAATCAGCGCTTCAATGGCCTGATCCTCAGCCCGATGGGAACCAGATACGTTACACCTGCAGACAGGTCAGGTCAAGTCACATTTATTTATATAGCTCTTTTTACAATACAGATTGTTTCAAAGCAGCTTTACAGAGATAACAGAAAAAATATTCAAAAAGGTTTGTTTCCAGAAGAAAAAAGCATCACAGAAGCATCACATTCGTTTTTGTTTTAAAAAAGTTATTAATTTAGTTAATTTATATATATATATTAGGGCTGTGCAAAAATTAATTGCGATTAATCGCATCCAAAATAAAAGTCTGTGTTTACATAATATATTTGTGTGTGCTGTATATAATTATTTTTTATATATATAAATACACACACATTCATGTATATATTTAAGAAAATGTGTTATTCATACATAAAATATTTATATAATATAGATTATGTATTTATATATATACAGAATTTAAGTGCAAATAATTCTTAAATATATACATGCATGCATAGGTATTTATATATACAAAATAATTATATACAGCACACACAAATATATTATGTAAACACAGACTTTTATTTTGGATGCGATTAATCGCAATTAATTTTTGCACAGCCCTAATATATATATATAGCCGCTCTGGAGAAAACCGTGATGCCATTGTCCAGCTCAGTTCAGTTTCTGTATAATAGTGTCAATGCAGACAGATCAATATTATTGTTGAATATTAAATTAAATGTTCATTTTCACAAAATCACATTTACACAGCCATTTTTTTTAAATATTCAAATAGAAAATAGCTACTTTAAATTTTAATAATATTTCACAATATTGTGTGATTAAATAAATGCAGTCTTGGTGAGCAGAAGAGGCGTCTTTTAAAAACATTTGAAAAAAACATACCGACCCCAAACTTTTGAACTATTGTGTTGATAAAAATGACAGAAAAATGTCTCAATTCTTAATCTGTAATATTCTTCATTTCCAGGGAGATTGTGGCGCAGGCTGGGCTGGCAGTGATTGACTGCTCATGGGCACGGCTTGAAGATACGCCTTTCAGCAAAATGATTGGCTCACATCCGAGGCTTCTGCCGTTCTTGGTCGCAGCAAATCCTGTAAACTACGGAAAGCCGTGCAAGCTGTCCTGCGTCGAGGCTTATGCTGCCACCTTCTGCATTGTGGGTAAGCAGCTACCAGCTTTAGCTTTCTCTCTCCCTGCTATTGCCAAATGGATTTGTATGAATTATATTAGTGGTTTAAGCATTATGCATTTCAATGGCTGACAAAACTGACTCGAGAGACTGGTCACAAATGGCCAAAATGATGCTGATATACAGCATGGTTTATTGGCCAATAATTGGCCATTAAAATTGCTACAAAAAATAAAAGTAGTATGTATATGATCATGCATCAGGATTTCGTGACCTGGCTGTGCTCCTGCTGAGGAAGTTTAAGTGGGGTTTGGGATTTTTGGAGCTGAACAAGACTCTTCTAGAGCGTTACGCTTCCAGCCAATCCGAAGAGGAACTGCTGGCTGTGGAGAAGGAGTTTTTCCGTGAAACTCCTCAGGAAGAGGAGATAGGTACGTTCCAATTATGCTTTTTTACATTTTCATCTTTCTTTAGTGTGTAATGTGGGTGTTTGAGCATGAAAAAGCTCTGCAAAGCACAAAGTCCCTCCAAAGGAAGTTGGTGCGCACTGTTTCTCCCTGAAACACTGTTGAGTTGCTTTAGAAGTGTGTTGAAACTCCCGGTTATGGTAAGGGGCGGGACATTTCCCAAACATCTTCAAAGCGGTTGACCAATCACAACGCACTGGTCTAGCTGGCCAACAGAGCACATTTGTGACTTTCAGAAGGCCAACTATGGTCGCAAGTTCCGATATTACCAACAACCGTTATTGGATAATGATTCTTTTGGGTAATGCACCCTAAGGGGCCGGTTTCATAAAGCTATTCATCTATAGAGTTAGACAAGTCTAAAATTTGCTTATACACTAGCTAATGCAAGATAGACTGTTTCACAAAAATAAAGACTGACTTAATTTAGATCAAATAATTAGACACCGTTCCCACAGACTAACTTAGTTCTAATACTCTGTTACCATGGCAACCAGCAGTAACAATAGGTTACATTACAAACAGCCGAAAGCAAAGGGAAAATGGCCCTTTCCAAATTAAACATTTCTTCTTGTTACTACATCCTCCGCTAAATTTCCCAAGTAAAATGTCCTTGTAACTGTTATACTCCTCCAACAAACACTTATTTTCCGCTGGGGTAAACTGCTTACTCGATCCACCATGTTTTTTTGTTTTGAAAAGTGTCTTATTTTACCCAGAATGCATTGCAGTGTAATCCAACTTAAGATAGTCAGAGTCTTAAGCCCTTTCGTGCAACGGTCTGATTTAGATGTCTGACTATCTGGTAAATCTAAGCCATAGTCAAAGTCTATGTGGCCTCTTTAAAACAATCAAATATACTGCAAGGGTTTTGAAAATAACTGTGGTGTTTGTTATGTGTTTGAGTTCAGATCCTTTCGATGTGGACTCAGGAAGAGACTTTCTGAACCTCAACAAGCCAGTCCTGTGAGACTCTTCTTTTAATCATTATGATTCTACTATGAATTTTGCTTAATTTCAACCTGTTAAAGTAATCTGTGTGTGTTTGTTCTCTCAGGGCTGAGGATGATGATGATGATGACAGTGACGAGACATCAGAGGAAGACGATGATGGTGAGGAGGAAGAACAGAAGAGTAAAGAGGAAGAGGATGATGATGAAAGTGATCCGTAGTCTTGGTTTGTGTAATCTTTGGGGAAGGAGGACTTTCAGTGACTTATTTAGTAACACTGACCTTCACTCGACATAAGCAGACTTCTGTTTTATGAGTGTTTACAAATCTTGAAAGATGGAACTAGTGAGTTAAACAAACCAGAGTAATCGGATACTGTAGTCAAGGTTTCAGTGAGCTACTTCCCCAAAGACTTTTTATTATGTGCAAAATGTGCTGTTTGTTCATGAGAAGAATCTTCTCAAACTGTAATGATCACATTATTGTTGCAAAACAAATTGACTGTTGTCTATATGTTTAAATAAATATTCAAATGATGTTTGTAATATGCTGCATTTGAGTTAAGTTTGCTAGGTGTTTTGCGGATTTGAGTTCCACTTTATTTAACCCAGCCTGTGTATTTTAAGTTAGTTACATGTAAATCCAGCATGAGCTAGTGACTAGTTGAGCATCAGGCTATATACTCTATACAAGGGGTCTTCAATCTTAGATGCCACAAACCTTCAAATATGATAAACGAAGGAACCCCACCCTAAAAGGCAACTTTTTAAGACCCACTTTATATACTTTTTTTATATTTAAATTTTAAAAGAAATGTATGTACATTTATAATGCTATAATTTGTAAATATATTACCTTTGCATCCAAAAACAAACAAACAAACAAACTAGTTGATGCTGCTGTGAAGAAGGTGTGTGATGGTAAAGTTGACATCTATCTCTCTTCTGACTGCGGTTATCAATCTCTCTATTTTTTTCCTCTTTTAAAAGTTGTGGAAAACACTATTGTGGATTTTTTCTTCTCTCAGTTATTCACCATTATAGAAGTTTACCCGCTTCTTCTGAGAAACCCCGGAATTATCTTAAAATCACTCAATGGTGCTACATATGAGGCAAAATATACATTATAAAGACAAATATTACTACAGTGATATTTAATACGTCAATAATATTTAAATATCCGACGGTTGAATGGTGAATAGAATAATGAATGTGAAAGTCATTTTCATTGTGCCCAGTTTTTGAAAACGAACATTACGCTGACTGTTTAACGGAAGTTAAGTTACACCCATAATTCGCGCAAAGCGTCATGGGGTGTTGGAAAAAATATGGATTTACCGATTTACATGGAATTTTGGGGATTCGCCGTTTGGGGGCGCGCGGTATTTTTTTTTTTTTTTATCCCTCTCGACTGCAGTAGTGTTGTTGTGGCGTGACGTCACAGCCGTGAAGCGAAGGCGCAGAGAGGGCGGCCATGACTACAGTCTTCACAATTATTTAATCCCAAATAAATTACCCGCGGAAAACTTCCATGGCAAGAGCCACGAGTCAGATTGTGAGTACCGCTAGCTTCTTGGGAACGCGGGCTCGAAGCCGCCTCGCGCCGCGTTGCGCGCGCTGCTTGTAACGGCGATTTTTGGGGGGTGGCGCGGGACGCTTGCGACCCGACTCTTTTGCTTAGCATTTAGCTTCATTAGCCCGCTAGTCCCCAAAACAAGCGCAGGTCTATTAACCAGGAAGTGTCAACTTTTGTTTCTTATCGTAATTTATACAGGGATTTCTGAATGAATTATTAGGCTTGATGTTGATATTTTTAAAAGAGCATTGTGGATACATGCTCATATTGTTATGTGTTAGCGCTGCGAGCTAATTCTATCAACAAATGAAGTTGCTTGTTTTCTTAGCCGTTAGCCTGACCGCTAACTCACGACATAGGGTTTTGGTTGTAGCTGTCTTAAATCTGCTTTCGATTTACTTAAATCATGTTTATTTCTAAGAATTAATTGAGAACATCCAGGGCTTGTTCGTAAGTCTCTGACAAACTACAACAGCGGTTTTGTGTCAGTCGCGCTTCTAGCATAAGTCGCCTCAGGTTGTTTTGCCTCATTTGCTTCTATGTTTGCTCTCAGTTTATCATTTTAAACCACAATTAAGGGATAATTAGTTGTACTACATGCCTATAACGGCTTATTAACATGTCCATGTTATCACTGACTTAGTTAAACATGTTATTTCCACTGAAATGAACAGACTCAGAGTTGCGGCCTATAAAAGTGGCTTGGAGATTTTTAAGGTTTCACCTTCTCATGTTCTTTTGACAGCCTATAATTATTACGTATAACGTCATATAGATCACTAGACGAAGACAAAACCCTTATGAATATGATTGGTGAATTATCAGGCTCATTATCACAGGCACAGCATATTAAACTGGGTATGTAGGTTTTGATTTCTTCAAGATGTAAATCCTGCAATGTAACTTGCCTCTGTTATTTCGCTTGCTGTTATTATTGTTGTTTCTCAAGCCTCGTTAAGTGTATGAAGTATGAATTAATATTGTGTTGTGTGGGTTGCTAAGGGTAGTTAACAGGATTATTGCTGGAGATTTGACCAAAGTTCTTGTTGACGTGTGACTCATGTTTTATAGAGGTGTTTTGAAGTTCGTTATGAATAATGTGAGCTGCAGTTACAGGTAGTGTAGTGATGGGAGAAACGAAGCTTTTCAAAGCCTCGAATCAATTGAACTCGAAAATGATTCCCTGTTTCGAAGCGTTCGAGGCGGCACACGTTGGTGACCCCTGCTGGTCAGAAGAACAGTGTAAATGCAACCAAAACTCATGCCAAACATGCATAAAAATAGCTTTTGCAAATTTGTTTTATTGAAAATTTATCAAATGCAATTAACTGATCATGTAATCTTGTTTGGTTTGTTCTATGGATGGCTCAGCTAAACAAGCCATTGAGATACTATTTACTACTATTATTCATTTTAATTATACAAATGCCTCATTAAACGTCTACAAATGTATTAGGTATTAGCTGGTCAGGTAAAAACCATAGCTGCTGGGGGTTGATCTCAGTGAATCTGCATGATTCATGTTTTCACAGAGATCGTATTATACCCTCTTCACTATTACTTACAAGGGAATGGGGCGATTTCGTACACAGCTTTCGAAACGGTTATGACATAGAGAAGCCTCGATTACTGAAAACACGTGACTTTGATACCACTGATTTAAAATAAAAGGTTCGTAAAAAGGTTTCGCAGCTTCATGAAGCAGTGTTTTGAAAGCACCCATCAAGCAGTGTGAGAGAAAGTGTATATTAGTTCACTTTTTTAATAATTTAACAGTGATATCCAGTGTAATTATGAATATTCAGTGTAATTTAGGTGTAGTTTTTTTTTAAGTAATTATATGTGAGAACTGTTTAAATGCTCTTTAACTCTTAAACTTACTCATAAACTGATTTGCAGTCAGAATGACACCCTGTGCATGTTTGTTTTCATTTATCAAAAACTTGCAATGTAATCGTTTGTGTTCCAAGTGAGCACATAATGTTATTTATCAACAACTTTAATATTATTAATACATAAAATATGTGCTCTCATCTTGCTGTCAACTATGAGTGACATATAGTTAGCAATAGCATATTATATAAAATGGGGATAAATATTTTTCTCTAAAATATTTAAATAATGCAAATGCAAAGAAATGGTGTGCTTTCTTTCATAAAAACTATCACAAGCCGCGCAATAATTACATCAGAGGCAGTAGTTCAGTAATGTGAGTAATACACTGACTTCCTCTTTCTTTTTCTCGTCAGTATGATGTTGCATCCCTCCACTCCTCTGTTCTCATCTCCTGTCCACCCATGGTAAGAGGCCAGCAGGACACGCCCCGTCTCCACGGCAGCAGCATGGAGGGACAGGCACTACCCCCCCAGCCGACCCAGCCTCGCAAGAAGAGACCCGAGGATTTCCGATTCGGAAAAATATTGGGAGAAGGCTCCTTCTCTACCGTATGACACACTTTTGAGATGTCATGCATAGTATTCACCTCATAGTATTATTCATTTAATGTACTAACCTTTGTCATCTGTACTACTTTGCAGGTTGTCTTGGCAAAGGAACACTCGACGGGGAAGGAATATGCAAGTAAGTTGTTGCATCATCAGACTGTGGTTCAAATGCATTACTAAATGTACTAAACATGTACTAAAGGTGTTTGTGCACGTGTTTCAACAGTTAAGATCCTGGAAAAGCGCCACATAATGAAGGAGAACAAAGCGCAATATGTTAAGAGAGAAAGAGACATCATGTCACACCTGGATCATCCATTCTTCGTCAAGCTCTTCTTCACCTTTCAGGATGAAGAGAAGCTCTGTATCCTTCATGCACTTGAGGGGTGGTCATAAAATTGGTTACTGATTCGATAGAAATCACTAGCCTGGGTTTCCCTGGGTTTTACACTTCAGATGATCAATACAATTAATCGCAAGAAAGCATGTACAAAATGATTATTTCCAAACTGTAAATGGTTAGTTCATCCAAAAATGTATTCTGTATTTTCTCCCTCTCATGTTGTTTTTGCGCGTTGTTGTAAATCTGTTTACATGAAGCCATCGTGTTTCCTCAGACGTCTTGGATTTGGATTAGACCACTCGATTGATTATTTTTACGATGCCTTTATGACATTTTTTTGGATCTTTTAAGTTTTAGAGGAATGGACTAGAAATCTAGAGGGACAGAAATCTTCCAGGTTTCATAAGAATACCTTCATTTGTGTTTGGAAGTTGAATGAAAATCTTGTAGGTTTGAAACGACATGAGAATGTACTTTTTGGGTGGATTATACTTTAGAAATACTGTAAATTGAGTCTTTGATAAAACTAACTCTATATTGCAATTTTTCACATTTTTATGTCTCATCTTCTTAATTTCTTAATGTAAGATAAACCTTAATGTTGACTGAGTTTAAATCGAATGCTTTCCTGAATGTACTGTCAGATTTTGGATTGAGCTATGCTAAAAATGGCGAACTGCTAAAATACATTCGAAAAATCGGCTCGTTTGACGAGACCTGTACGCGGTTCTACTCCGCTGAGATAGTTTGTGCTCTTGAGTACTTGCATCAGAAGGGCATCATCCACAGGTTAGTTGGTTTGTCTTTAATAGTTTTATTTGTCCTTTTCTATAGTGTGTTTTTGTTTAAATGTTATATATATATATATATCCTGACGTTGAGTTGTGGTTTTGTTACAGAGATCTAAAGCCAGAGAATATTCTGCTCAGTGAAGAGATGCACATTCAAATAACAGACTTTGGCACGGCCAAACAACTGTCCTCTGACAGCAAACAGGGTAATGGATATACTCCACATAGCAATCATCCTCTGACAGTGTAAACCGTTCATGCACAAGTATCCTCTTTTGATAGTGACTGACATTGTTAATCTGACGTTTCTCCCCGCAGCAAGAGCAAACTCATTTGTTGGTACGGCTCAGTACGTCTCTCCAGAATTACTGACTGAGAAATCTGCCTGCAAGAGGTAAACACCACTGATGAATATTTCATGGTTATATTTCATGCTTTTGTCATAATGAAATGGGCCTAATTCAGAGATGCGTCATGTTAGTTTGTTGAAGCATTTATTTAGTGGTTCCTCTTATGAATCCTGGAGACATTATGTGCAAGAACAAGGGTTTATTTGATGTTTTGACTAAAGGTTCACTTTATTTGGCTTACTTGTGTGTTTATCTTAAACATATTTTTTCTTGTGGCAGTTCGGATCTCTGGGCATTAGGCTGCATAATCTACCAGCTTGTTGCTGGTTTGCCGCCATTCAGAGCTGGGTAAGTTTCTTTTCAGAGTACTAGCGATGTGAAAAACTAGTGGATAAAGGTGCTCCGATCAGGGTTTTTGGGGCCACTTACCGATCCCTGGATGCAGAACTGGCCAAAATAACCAAAGTAAAATAATACGTCATGATAAATAGAAGGCTTCAAATAGATCCACTGGGATTATTTAGCTATTCTTAACAACAATGTGTTTCTAGCAGGCCTAAATAAAAAAATTAAGATGATGAGAAAACTATCATGAATTGACAGCTCTTGATATATTGGCAATCAAAATGTGCAATATATTCCATTCCCTCTCTTAGAGGTGATTAAGAGCAGCGTAGAGCTTAACAAACATAGCATTCCTGTGAGGAAATGGACAGTAATCAAATGTAAAACCACTGCATTGTATTCATTGTATAAATTATAGATTAATCCGACTAAATCTACTAAAGAGCAGTGAGGGATTTTTTTCACTTGATTAACAGTAATGACAGACAGCAGTAGGATATTAGCCATCTTGCGCGGATCCAATATACTATTACACTGACTTTCCACTGTTTTCCTACTGTTTCCACCCCCCAACTGTTTATGTTCACTTAAGACATAACCAACAGTGTTAAGTGAATACTCACCAAGCGTTAAACGATAGGTCTCTTTTCTTTCCTCTGTTGAACACAAAAGAAGATATTTTGAGAAATGTTAGGGTTAAGGTAATCAGACAGTTGACGGTAGACTTCCATAGTAGAAAAAAATGCAATAGTCAATGCCCTTTAATATACACTTTTTTTTTTAATTAAATTTTTTTTTTAAACGTGGTTCTCGTGACATGAGAAATAGTGAGATATTATACTACTGTCAAAAAAGGGCAGAGTTTGAAGCATCGGGTTTTTCCCATGCATATTGTCAGCGCAGAACACTTTTTAATCTCATGATCTATCCCTCGTATGTGAAGAAGCTTAAACCTCCAATTACTAAACATTGTTTTCTTTTAATCCATCACAGGAATGAGTATCTAATATTCCAGAAGATTATAAAACTCGAGTACGAGTTTCCTGAGAAATTTTTCCCCAAAGCCAAGGACCTTGTGGAACAGCTTCTGGTCAGCCTTATTTCATCATAAATATTTGTTTTTCTATTCATAGTGTAGGTGAGGATCTGCTGTGTGCTCATTGGTGTTTTACTTTCACAGTCACTGGATCCGTGCAAGCGGCTTGGCTGTGATGAGATGGGCGGCTACGGACCGCTGAGGTCCCACCCTTTTTTTGAAACCGTTAGCTGGCATGACGTACATTTGCGGACTCCTCCCAAACTAACGGCTTACCTTCCCGCCATGTCCGAGGATGACGAGGACTGCTATGGAAATGTGAGTCAACGCTAAAGACTTGTGGAGGGGTTTGATTTTCTTCAGAAAATGTCAAATTGAGATCATTCTTAATCTCCTTTTCTCTTTTATTTGCAGTATGATGATCTCCTGAGCCAGTTCAGTTGTATGCAGGTGGCACAGCCTGGCCCTGCCCCTTTAGTTCCCTTTACAGTAGAGACAAGTGCTCCTACGTATAACCCCTCCCCTAGTGTGGATCAGTTTATACATATTCATGAGCTGGACAGTAATAGCATGGAGCTCGACCTACAATACAGCGACGAGGAGAAACGCATCTTACTGGGCAAGCAGAGTGCTGCAAACCCATGGTACACAAATACTTTTTTATGTGACTTTCTATCTGTGCATGCTTTCTGTAACTTTTTTTAATTATTATTTTTGTATCAGGCACCAGTTTGTGGAGAATAACCTCATCTTAAAAATGGGCCCAGTTGACAAACGCAAAGTGAGTAACTGTTGGTAGTCTGTTCATCTGTAAGAGTATTCAGTCAGATAGAATTGTTTTCCTGAACAAATGACTCTTGAAATGTTTAGGTGTGTTCAAACGACGTCAGAGTGACGTTAGAGAGCAGACGGCTCTGTAAGCTTTCGAATCACTCTCACAGTAATTTGATGTCATGCATCGATCGGTCTGCGCAGAGCAGATTTAAGTCGAACACGCCTATTGTTTTTAGTGAATTAAAGGAGTAGTTCACTTGTAAAAAAACTTTTGCTGATAATTTACTCACCCCCATGTCATCCAAGATGTCAATGTCATTCTTTCTTCAGTCGAAAAGAAATTAAGGTTTTTGATGAAAACATTCCAGGATTGTTCTCCATATAATGGACTTCAATGGGAACCAAACGGTTCAAGGTCCAAATGAAAGTTTCAGTGCAAACCGTTCAAAGGGCTTTAAACGATTCCAGACGATGAATAAGGGTCTTATCAAGCGAAACGATTGCTAATAAAAAAAAAAGTTTTATAAGCTCAAATGGTCACCTTGCTCTGTTCTGTGATGTGCGTTCGTGACTCTCCTGTTCGAACTCGTTCATCAAAATGAACGAATCTTTTTCCGAGTCTGTTCATTGAATGAACCAAATGACACGAAAAAAACATTAGTTCATTTTGCATTGAAACTGTCTTTTGGACCTTGAACTGTTTGGTTCCCAGTAAAGTCCATTATATGGAGAAAAATCCTGGAATGTTTTCATCAAAAACCTTAATTTCTTTTCGACTGAAGAACGAAAGACATGGACATATTGGATGACATGGGGGTGAGTAAATTATCAGCAAAAGTTTTTTCAAAAGTGAACCACTCCTTTAAAACCATACAACAAGATCATTAGTATAGTCAATTGCTGATCCAATGCTTCTTATGATTCATTTCTAATTGGTGAATCAAAACTGTGTGAACAGTGCAGTCCATCCAGTTCCCTAACAAATAATTCTTATGATTTGATTATTTTTAGTCGATCAAAACTACACAGCATGACCAGTATATTCCATTCAGTTCCTGAACGAATGACAGTCATAATTTGGTTCCTTCCTGAATGAATGACGCATATTATTCAGTTCTCTGTAGTAAATCAAATCCAATTTTTTTCATTTTAGTGAAGCAGAACAACCAGTGTAGTCAGACCAATTATTGACGACCGACTCTCATGATTTGATTCTTTTTAGTGAATCAAAGACTGTTGGAAGTTCTAGGACAGGAGCTATGTTTTAAAATCTTACTTTAATAAAAGAGTTGATGTGTCCTTTTGTGTGCATGTGTAGGGTCTGTTTGCACGGAGGAGGCAGTTGCTACTGACTGAGGGTCCTCACTTGTACTACGTGGATCCGGTCAATAAAGTTCTGAAAGGGGAGATTCCATGGTCACCTGAACTACGGCCAGAAGCGAAGAACTTCAAAACCTTCTTTGTTCACACGGTAACCGCAGTCTATTGCTATCTTATAATGTCACATCTACATGGTTTAAATGTGATGTGTAATGACGCCGCTTTGTTCCCGTAGCCAAACCGGACGTACTATCTAATGGACCCAAGTGGCAACGCTGATAAATGGTGCAAGAAGATCCAGGAAGTTTGGAGGAAGATCTACCACAAACACCAGAGCCCCAGCCTATAGGACTACAGTGCTCCTCCCCTTTGGCCACGCCCCCCACAGCTCTCCAACCAATCACAGGACGGGGGCACGCCCCTGTAGAGACGCCTCTCCAGCTATATATTGTCTTTGTCTCCTCATATATCAGTCCCGTCGCTCCCAGGCACTTTCTCTGTTCAGATTCAGTTCTTTCACACACGCCGAGGGTGGAGTCTTCACAACCAAAAGCAGCAGTCGGCGCGTCGTGTCGGCAGGCGAGCCGTAGAAAACCTTTATCACACGTTTAGACCAAGTCTTTCCATCGGTTTAAAGCAATGCAGGTAACAAACCCTTTCAACCCACCTGTCGCGGAACAAGTGCACACGCTCTCTTCTTTTCTCGCACACTCACCTCCTTACATTGAAACGCCTAAACGCTTTGTAGTGCGTGTGGCTTTAGTCTGCGTTTAGAATTAAGGCGGGTCCTTTTACCCTTATTGGCTACAGTAGCTGGTCTTGCTGATTCCGATTGGAGGATGTGGTGTCGAATCTCTCCTCAGCATGTTCACGTTACGAATAAAGCTTCAAATCGTATCAGGAGACGGCACCACACCGCCACGAAAGCCACATGGGTAATGTGGTTTGAGAGGGTAATTTGTCCCCCCCTCCCCCGGTCCTATGCTGAAAGCACGACTGAGTTTAGCTGTTTTCCTTTAATTAAAGCGCTTGCATTGTTGACGGTATGCTTTGCTGATTGCGACGGAGGGACAATCTGGTCGTGTGCGCGCGTTTGGCTCCTCTCATTTGGCCGTTTTTAACAGGAAGTCCGTGGAGTGAGTGAGACCAACAGACTGAGTGTGTGTGCGCGTGTGTCTTCCTGATCGGTAACAGATGACTGTGATGTACAGTTGATGTAAAATTGCAAATGGGAGGTGAGTAAAGAGGTGACTCTAGGATCCAGGTTTTGTATTTTTATTCTTGTATAAGGTTATTGGGCCGCTCCGTTCTGGCCTGGCTTCTGTGTTATTTAAATTCTAATATATGAAAGCATATTTGGATTGAAGTCATGTTCCAGGGCCTTGCTGTGTATGTATTGAATATGTATAGCCTTTGAATGTGAAGAATTATTGTAAACTATGATATTTTACTGCTTTTGTTTTCTTACTATATCATATACATTTTCTATTTGCGCAGTGATTGGCTCATTTCTGATAATTTAATGCCTGTATGCGCACGGCCCCACTTGTCTGTGTGCGCGCATGTGTGTCTGTGTGTGAGAGAGATATGGTTTGTGTGTGTGTGCGTGGGGGGTCCTTGTGCGTGTAGGCAATGTGTGTATTCTTCTTGTCGACCTTTTGCGCTCGACAAAACCTAGAACTGAAATAAAGCATGTAGGGTTTTAGGCCAACAAACGCAGTCTCTTTGGTTTTTCTCCGTGTTTGAATGATATTGATTTTAAAGTTGTTGTTCCCTTGACAGTCAAAGGCTATATAATATAAGGAATATATGCATAAAACAAATAAATGAAACCCTTTTAGGATTAAGAACATTTGAATTATCCTAAAAATATTTATGAGATGTGTTTATTATATGTTTTACTTTTTGGGGTGGAATAGGTTCAGGACAGGATTTGTTAGATCTATTTTGTAGATTAATTAGGCTAGTATTTTCATAGCCTAATAGTCAGTTTCAAAAGTAGCTAATCAATTTGACCCACTAATTACAACCTAACTTCATGATACCAGTTTGGAAATCTAAATTATCCGCCCTCTGTAGTGAACTCATGCAATCTCACAGTTGTTCGTGCAGCCCTTCAGGCTAAAATAAATGGGCTTTTAGTCGCTCAACCTAGTGGGCATTTTTTGGAATCACATGCATCATATGATGACCTATAAAGATTTTTACTACAAGTATTGCAGGCGCCATTTAGAAAAGCTGTTCATTAGACAATAACCTTCAAATGTTCTTCGTTTCCTGTTTACACTTCTGGGTCTTTACGACCCCAACAGTTGATGAGTAATTGTACAAAAAAATATACATTTAATATATCATTTTTTGTTTGTTTGTTTACTTCACATCTATTCATTAATGCGGTGTTTTTGGAGATATGAAGTACTTTTGTATCCATATACCACACAATTCCTCAATTACACCATTAGCTTGCATATGAAATATTTTTTTTTATGATACATTGCATTTATGCTCAAGTACTAGGCCTTCATTTCTGTGTAAAAATTTTCAGATTTATGCCGTTTTTTTTTTTTTTGTTTGTTTTTTTTGACACATGAAGAAAATATATTTATTTTTTTAAACATTTCTCATTCATTTCAATGTGGGGTCATTGACCCCGAAGACCAGAAGTGTCAACGTTTTTTTTTTCATACCTTCAGAACAACCGAATCAAGCCCAGGGTATGAAAAGTCACACAATCTTATTCCACTGAAATGAAGCGAACTTTTTTTTTTCTTAAGTAAAAGTCGATTGGGGTCGTATAGACCCCATGACCCGATTGAGGGCTACAGTAACACTTTACGGTCCAATTCTCACTATTAAGTAGTTGCTTATTAGCATACATATTCCTTTTTTTTTTTTTTTTTTTGCTGGGACAAGCAAACAAATTTGCCAAAAAAATAATACACAACTCTAAACTTGCATCAATTAACATATTAAACGTCATTTACATTACTGACATTGGCTGTTTATTATTAGTAGCCTACTTATAAAGCACATATTAATGCCTTATTCTGCATGACCAATTTGTCCCATGATCCAACTATTAAAAAAGCAAAGTTCGATCGAATCACTAAAAAGTATCGGTTCATTAGAATGACTCCTTTTCGAATCAGTAGAAATTCAGTCGCTGACTATCCAGTGGACTTAGATATCGGAATAAACAACACAGCCCATGTCTTTTCTCCGTCTCGCGCCCAAAAAAACAAATCTGAGGGGTGTATCTCTCGCCGTCAGTGCGCTGCGCCCTTCGCGCGTCTGTTGGGTTAACTTGGTTATAGTGGAGAGGCGCGCGGTCGCCGTTACGCACTTCAGCGGAACACCGAGCTCAGGATGGCCGAGAGTCACGGCGAGATCAGCGGCCACGACTGTCGACTGCCTCCCGCTCACACCTTCAACCACAGATCCTCCAAGTGGGTCCGTTTGAACGTCGGCGGCACGTATTTTCTGTCCACCAGACAGACTCTCTGCCGGGACCCCAAATCATTCCTGTTCCGCCTGTGCCAAGCAGAGCCAGACCTCGACTCGGATAAGGTAATACAGTTTGATTGTTTCATTTAGAGATCATTTTGCCACTTTAACTGAGATAAATAACTTGGCATCTAAGACAGAGCATTTATTTATTTAGTTCATGTATAAGTTATTTATAAAGAATGGGTGGGAAAAGTAGGTTAGAGAGTGCAGAAGTCTGTAAATGATACTCAAACAAAGCTTTTTTAACACGCATTTGATATTATTTATAATAGAGTTATACAAATTTTAGGATCATTATTAAATAAGATATTATACCTTATATGCAGCTACATCTAAACATTGTTTTTAAAAGCTGTAATGTATAAACAAAACTGACAGCTGTACAGAAATAAATGCAGCCTATCTATGTTTTTAAATCACTTATCATGTGGCATTATGCTTGCATGAACCTGTTTTTGTTCAGTTTGTTAATTATTCACAAGACAAAAGATCTGTTTCTCCTCAGTTTGGAGGAGATGCTTTAAAATGGGTCATCAGAATGAAGCGGTTGTTTCACTTCTCTGCAGTTCATAATCACTTATATTGTTGCATGGAGTTATTTGTGTTGTTTCTATGGTAATTCGGGGGGTTGTCCAGATGGCTGTTTTTGTCTAGAGTTGTTTTCCTGTCGAATGGACTCGAACAAACACACTTTTACCGTCCGCCCCAGTCCCAGAACAAGCTCTCTACTGTTCTTCTCCTCGAGTGTTGGGCAGACTGTGGCGTCCTGGGTTGGCCATGTCGATGACATCATCAGCACATCTGCCCCAGTTTTGCTTTGTAATCTGGACACAATCCCGCTTATGACACCTGAGCTGTGTCCGAGATCAGGGTTAAAGGTTATGGGTCAGATCAGGCAATGGTCAGTGTTGTTTTTAAGTGTAGGCCTAAATATAAAAAAGGTGCATTTACAGCTGGTAATTGGTTTTATTTGTAAGTAAAAAGTAGTAGCCTTAGCCTAGTATTATTTAACATGATTGAATCGATTAGACTGCAGTTATTCCAGTGGAGAATAATTTTTTGCATTATATCCAAACTCTTGAAAAAAAAAAAATGGATAAAATCGGAAAACTGATAAACTGTATCAAAATGGTATCTAAAAAATGTATAAAATTTGAAAACTGACAGCATTATTGTGACATGGGGGAAAATAAAGGTGTTATAAGGACGAAATAATTGTCTTCAGTCTAAATGATTATTATTAGATATTACTTTAATTTATCGTTAAAGCTAACATGCTTTGATTTTTTGTTAAAATCGGGTTTAAAATATTGAAAACTGAATAGAAATAGCATGTATTGTGTCATTAAATGGATGAAAATAAAGATGTAGTAATGTAAAGATGAAAAATCTTTCTACAGTCTACATGTTTGTGAAATCTTACTGCCTAATATTTGAATTAGAACGCTTAGCCCTCAAACCGTATTCACTTTATAGCCCTTAATCCTGTAATTGTGGACAAATGTGGGCACAGAGGACTCGGATGTGATCCTAATTTTATTTATTATAAATGTTATATCACGGTCTTCGATAAAGTTTTGTCTATCCATTTATGTTGATTTTTTTTTATTTTGCGGGTATTTTTTAATTTTTTTTACTTCAAAAAGTACCATATTTTCTATGTAAATTATGCTTATTTTATGTTTAATTTTTTTAACTACATTAAAATATTCCATTAAGTTCTTCGAGCTAAAAGCTAAAGATGAAGTGACTTTGCTGTCACCTGGTGTCTTAATTTGGCTTATTTTAGAATGCTCTAAATTACAGTTTTTCCCATTCATTTCTATTGGTGCCCATTTTTGACATTGTAGAATTGAGTCAAAAAAATTGTCTGTGTTCAGAAGGCAAACTTAGGAAAAGTAGCCAAGTCTTGTACCACTCAGATCATCAAGGGAAGTATTTTTAAAAAATAAATCAAAACTATTTTGCCCACATTTGTCCAGAATACAGTTTTAGGGTTAAATGTAACGTTTAAATGTTTTCTCCTATTAATTATCTCATAATATGCAGAAATAATTATACCTAAACCATTTCTAGTTTGATTAGACGGTACTTTATCAAAACAGTCCTGTTTGTCGTCTCGAGTTTGGGGGCGGAGCTAATGTTAAACTATTGCATTTTATTTGGTGGCAACAAACATTACACGCTTCCTCTTTAAATCGTATCATATAACGAGTGGTTGAAGTGCACACTTTCACTGTAACAAATTAAATAGGCTACTTTTTTTGCCATTTGCACAGCAGTGTGTGTCACATCCTTTTGGGTTCTCGCTGCTCCTGCTGTCTTACCTCCTCTCATCTCTCAAATCTCAGACGGTAATCTCAAAATAACCCTAATCCAGAATAATCCTGCTCTCTAGGGGCTTTAACCCTGTAAAGAGCAGGAGTCTCTAAGGCTCTGGGAAATCACTCCACGCTGTTTGTGCCCCAGATTTGATAAAAGGCGGATTTCAGCCTCACACACTGTTCTAGGTCCATTACGCATCTGGAAGTGTCCTGGTTCAAGCTTGAACAGAATATTGTGAGTGTGTGTGTGTGTGTGTATCGCATACGTTTATTTTTTTATGAATGTGGCCTGCATGCCATTAAAAACAGATGCCGAGTCCCGCACACACACTTACGCGCACAACTCATTAATGTTTAAACTCACTTTCCTCTAATGGATCTCTTCTCTTGCTGTTCCCTGGTTGCACACAAAGGCTGTTTTGTAATAATAATGACATTTTCCATTGTCAAAACCTCACAAAAAAATTAAAATTGTACTATTTTTACTGTTTTCAGAGGGTTTTAGCAGGGGATGGTTTCCAGGGCATTGCTGTGCAGTTTGGGTGTTTGTAGGTCGCTGAAGTTTCTTTCTCTGTCCTTTCATTTATACTGTAGGATGAGACGGGGGCATATTTGATTGACAGGGATCCCATGTATTTCGGGCCTGTACTGAATTATCTGAGACATGGAAAGCTGGTCCTCAACAAGAACCTGACAGAGGAAGGTACGGCAAACACGCACCGTCAAACTGACGTGATCGAGAGTGTGATTGTTGATCTGCAACTTTAATTCGGTTTGCATGTGTGTGTCTCAGGAGCTCTTGAAGAGGCGGAGTTCTACAACATCACATCGTTAATAAAACTCATCAAAGAAAACATCAGTGAAAGAGATGCTAAGACGATACACGTAAGGGAGTTGGAAAACACTCAATTCACTTTAAATTAGGCTAGATAAAGTTATGAAATTTAACTCTGGCAGTATGCAAATCTATGTGTGTCTTCAGGCATACATTTAAAGTGGATCTATTATGCCCCTTTTTACAAGATGTAATATAAGTCTCAGGTGTCCCCAGAATGGGCCTGAAGTTTCAGCTTAAAATGCCCCACATATCATTTATTACACCATGTTGTTCAGTATTTTTGAGTGGAAGAAAAAACATGCTGTTTTCGTGCATGTGTCTTTAAATGCTAATGAGGTGCAAAAACTAAAACATTTGTTTGGTTTTGATTAACATCTCTATTGCGGTTCTTTTCAAGTTTATTATCTGCATGCATTTTAGGCCCCGTCCACAGTACTGCGTTTTCGTCCAGACTAAAACGAAAAAGAAAAAAAAACGAAGAAATAAAACGAAAAAAAAAAACCCGAAACGCTGCAGCGCCATTTTGCGTTTTGAATCTCCGGAGACGGGACAAAACGGAGGAGTTTAGAAACGCTGACGCAGAGGCTTACGCTCGGCTCTATGATTGGGTGTCATCAGTCATGATGTGTCCTTCCCTGATTCGTCAGCCAGCCATCACATGACCCGTTTCTTGTTTACACTGGCACGTGCATGCCCAGTGTTTTGGTGAATGGTCACGTGATCCGCATTTTCAGTCGTTTTAATGTCGATGGAGATCAATTCTAAAACGCGGATAAAACGCCGGCGTGGACGGAGATCGTATTTGTAAAATAGATCGTAAAATAGAAAATCCCTCCCTGCACTTGACTGAATGACTTTAGTAGCTTTAAGAAGAATTTCTTACTTGAGCGCTGCTGTTAAATGCTCTGGCGAGGAGATAAACATGGCGGACTGTGTCCAGCTCACTGTGGGCGGGTCTATGCTAATAAGGCAGAGTTAATCAGAAATCGTGGGTGTGGCCTAAGCTTACTCTATGTGACATCACATTGCATAGAAACTGCGAACAACTTATTCTGAGACGCGGTTCACGATTTATGGGGATTAAAAAAGGAGTGCATGGAGTTTTACCATTATATGGTGGTTGTGTACACACTGCTGACACACAATTATGTTCAAACACCATATTAAAGTGTATTCTGCATAATGGGTCCCCTTTAAATGAAATGAAAATGTAGCATGCAAATGGAGGACAAATGTTTTACCACCTTTGTCTCTGTCTTCAGACGCCAGTCAAGCATGTTTACAGAGTTCTGCAGTGTCAAGAGGAAGAACTGACGCAGATGGTCTCGACCATGTCGGACGGATGGAAGTTTGAGCAGGTAAATCAAACCCGGCATCAGTTCATCTGATCATTCCAGCTCCACAACAATCAGAATCGCTCCCGCCGGTTCAGCTGACCTGCGGTGTGTGATGCAGGCCCTGCCTTACGCTCTGATTGGTTGTTGCAGCTTGTCAGTGTAGGTTATGGGCGGGCCCAGAAGTCAGAGTTTTTCCTGATTGTGTCTCGGGAGGTGAAGGGGGAGGAGTCAAGCCAAACTCACCCCGCCCACAGTGGAGAGGTGTGTCCAACAATCCCCTGTCCCCCCACTAACCACTGCATGCCCTCGCAGTTTTGGTTTTCATTGCAATGGACACAGTGAATGTGGTTGTCCGGCATGTGACTTGCGTGGATGTCGTGCTGTCGATCTGCATGTTTTTAAGTGTTTGCATGCGGTGGATCTCTGCGTTCTGATGCATTCCCGAGCATGTGGACTGTTTAGGTGCACCATGTTATATTTTAATTTAAAGGGTTCGTTCACCTAGAAATGAAAATTATCCCTCAAGCCATCCCAGGAGCCAAACACAAAAGTTATATTAAATAAAAAATATCCTGGATCTTCCAAGCTTTGTAGTGGGAGTGAATAGTAATTGTTAAAGTGATGCGTTTTTGTAAGAAAAATATCCATATTTAGAACTTTATAAACTATAATCACTGGCTTCCGGTGAAAGGTCAGAGGTCACTCTTCCGCCGGATTTGGAACTGGACTCGCGTACGGAAGCCAGTGTTTATAGTTTAGAAATTTATAATAGGGCTGTGCAAAAATTAATTGCGATTAATCACATCCAAAATAAAAGTCTGTGTTTACATAATATATTTGTGTGTGCTGTATATAATTATTTTGTATATATAAATACCTATGCATGCATGTATATATTTAAGAATTATTTGTGCTTAAATTCTGTATATATATAAATACATAATCTATATTATATAAATATAAATATTTTATATATGAATAACACATTTTCTTAAATATATACATGCATGTGTGTGTATTTATATATACAAAATAATTATATACAGCACACACAAATATATTATGTAAACACAGACTTTTATTTTGGATGGGATTAATCGCAATTCATTTTTGCAAAGCCCTAATTTATAATAAATATGGATATTATTCTTACGAAAACGCATCGCTTCGTTTCAGAAGGCTTTTATTAACCCACTGGAGTCATATGGATTACTTTTATGATGGATGGATGCGCTTTTTTGGGCTTCAAAATCTGCAGGACCATTCACTCCCATTATAAAGCCATGTACATGTGGAGTGAGTCAATTATGGGATAGTTTTAATTTTTGGGTGAACAAACCTTTTATAAGGCAAGACACCCCTGGTGAAAAGGGTAAAAATCTAACAAATGCATATAAGCTTTTCAATTTTTTTATAATGTATAAATATCCTAATAGTCTATTTGCATACATTTCCAGAACAGATATCTGAACATTGGATAAAGCCAGGTTCAGAATTCTTGTTTTATTTTGATGACAATTCGATTTTTGCATTTTCAGAGGATCTCTTTTAATCATTCCATAAGTCAAGAGCCAGAACAAAATACATTTTCACCATGTTTTTTTGGACTAAAATGTATTAAATCAATCAAATGATATATGAAACAAACCCGTCTGTGACTGATTTTGAGAAAACAGCTTTTAAAAAAAGATCAATTGTAATTGGTATCTATAGATGCAAATAGATATAGCATTTAAAAGTGTATTTTGGATGTTTTCTTTCCACTAGTCTGAAAAAACTTTCAAAATTGACCAGTGTGTGCAAAAACTAGCTTTTTTTGCCTGTACTGTCTTGCCTTGAACTGATTATTCTTCCAAAAATGTCAATTCTGTCATTTTCTCACTGTTATGCTGTTCCAAACCTGCACTTTATATCTACATATTGTGCGCAGCATTCACACTGTACAGTTAAAGTGAATGGGAACGGAAATAATATGCTCCAAAATAAGCATCATAAAAGTGTGATATCACAATAAAAAATAGCTCTTGAATCACAATTGTGCGTAATATTTAAAAAAGCCGTATTAAGATGTTAGTGACGCCAAATTGTTAAAACAAGAATGACATAATTCGCATTTTTGGGTGTACTGTTTCTTTAATCATTAATAGTCGCTCATTGAGAACAGTTGCTCATCTCTGTGCGTTCCTCTCTGCTTCTGTCTCTCTGTTTCTCATGTTTTATGTAGTTGGTGAGTATCGGCTCCTCCTATAACTACGGTAGTGAAGATCAGGCGGAGTTCTTGTGTGTTGTTTCTAAGGAACTGCACAACCAATCGTATAGCAGCAGCTCCCAGCCCAGTGAGAAAGCCAAGGTAAGCAGCGTGTGTGTTCGGCTGTGTTCCAATTGGATTACTAGCACACTGCTCTATTGACCCAATCATACTTCGCCATCCGACATAGTCAGGAGAGTTAGTAGATTAGCATGGGAGGATTTGAACTTGAAAAACGGTGTGTACTGACGCCTTTCCGCGGTTAAAGCAACATTCCTTCTTATGTTCAATTAGGGCTGGGCGATATGGCTGAAAACTTTATCACGATATCAGTGTTTCATATCGATAATTATTGATTTTTTTTACCCATTTAAAATAAGGACCTTTAAACTTAACATTCCTCTGATTATGATCCCAAGACAGAAATGTCAACTCAAATAATTAAAATGTAAGGTAAGTCTAGCTAAGAGTAAAAAAGGTGACAGTGGTGCGGTGCAGCGGGACAGGATTAATTTGCTATATTTTAGATCAACATATTTGTTTTCCTTAATTTTAATTAACCCTAACTGTATTCTCATCAGAATTATAAATAATTGATTTCCCTATAAAATAATTCTACCAACACATTTCATTTTCTTAATTTCTTTTTTAATCAATGTGTAACTTAAAAATAAACAGATTAGTGATCTGTTTTGAGGACAAGAAATGAAAACCAATGCGATATGATGAATGCCCAAAAGATGGAACACATATTTATCCAAAAATAGTTATTTTAAATGGTAATAATATTTCACATTATTACTACATTTTTGATGAAATAAATGCAGCCTTGATGAGCAGAAGAGATCCCCAAACCTTTGAACACTAATTTACACTGTAATTTTTCAACAATAGTTCAACTATTTGGTTATTTCAAAGAGAGCCGTTGTGTTGCAGAGCATTTTTGACAGTAGCTCAATGCAGATTAGTAATCTTTCGTTGTATCATGTAAATCCTCTGCTGTTTTCCCTCAGATCCTACAGGAGCGCGGCTCTAGAATATGAGCTTCTGTCTGATATATCTGAGACGTATCCGTTCTTTCTAGAAGCTTCCATGAGCTTGTTCTCTTCACGCGCACCGACAAACTGAAGCACGCAAGCAGCACGTGAAGAGCATGTCCACTTAAGGTGCCTGGAATAAAAACGGGGATGCTTGATTTTTGATCTTTATGGATTCATGGACTGATTCTGATCGACAGGAACTGAGAAACTGGACCATTGTAAATCTCAGGGATCAAAAGGAAACGGCGACGTCACTCTGAATCACTGTCCACCTGTTACAATCACAATCACTCTGTCCAACAGTGATGCGTTTTCTAGTTTAAAACAAATAGTCTTAGTTTCAAGTGTACAAACAAACCTGATGATCAAGTTCTCCTGTATGATATGAGCTTTAGTATGAGTCACATGATCAATGACTTTTGGTTGACACTGTCATTTGATTTGTATAACCAACCAATAGTTAATAGGGATTTTGAAAATCGGCTGCAACTTTGCTGTAACGCCACGGTTGAGCACAAGAGTAACATTTCCTAGTGTGAGATTTCAAAAGTTTGGGGTCTGTAAGATTTTGAAATATTTTTGAAAAGTCTCTTCTACCAAACCTTAATTTATTTCATTTAAAAAATAAGGTAAAAACATTCACCATTGCGAAATATTATTACAATTTACAAGGAATTGTTTTCTATTGTAATATAATTTCAAACGTAATTTATTTTAGTGATCAAAGCTGAATTTTCGGCATCATTACTCCAGTCTTCAGTGTCACATGATCTTTCAGAAATCACTCTAATATGATGATTTGCTGCTCAAGAAACTTTTATTATTATTATCAGTTGTGCTGCTTCATATTTGAGACTGTACTACATTTTAATCAATAATAAATCATTTTTATTTGAAATAGAAATCTTTTTGTAACATTACAAATATCTTTAATTACACTTTTGACCAATTCAATGCATCCTTGCTGAATAAAAGTATTCTTTCCTTTTTTTAAAAAAAAAAAATCTTACTGACCCCAAACTTTTGACCTGTATCTTTTTTTTACTCTGTTTGAACATTATTGCTTTTACACTACTGCTAATATTGTTATCATCCAGGCAATATTTCAGAGATATCACTTGCTGTTAAGAAATGTGTTAGTGTATCTTATTACCTTATGGCTGGGCCTTAAAGGGAAGGATCTTTTCTGTCTGTCAACCAAGAGGAAAGCATTTAAATGACACCTTGCACATTTTAATATAAGGACAAACACTATTATATATCCTGTAAGGTAACAATAGATGCATTTGTATGTCATTTTTTTGTGTTTTGGTAACAAGTAAAATCTAAACCTGTACAGCAAAATCTCACAAGCTGAATGCAACAACACACACATCCACACACTTTTAAGACATAAATGCATTTTTAACAAAGAGTTATGTGTCTGTCTGCTTCTTACTGCCATTGTGGAGAAACGCGAGCACGTTATTTGTACAATTAAATTAAGTTAAAATGGTTAAAAAATATATATACCAAAATGAAATAAAAACTTTTCATTTTTTACCTTGCTAGGGTTGCACAGTATATCGATACTACGGTAGTATTGCGATACTAAAGCTTGCAATGCCTCTGTATTTTTTTAAACGGTATTATTGTGAATTATATGTTTTATTGCCCATTTTACAACGGGTGAATCTGTTGTCACTGGTAATTGTCGTTTGAACCTTTCCGAATCCACCATCAAATTAATACATTTAATTATATCAAGTGCTGTGAGAAAAGGCTAAGGGCCGTTACATAGTCAACGCGAGCTACGCGAGAAAGCAACGCGAGTGACGCGAGCGACGCGCTTCCTTTCATAGTGTTAAAGCAGACGCAAGCGTCACGGGCGATGCGTAAAATGCAATACACCGGTCACGCAACAGGGGGTAGTAGATTTTTCACTGCAAACCTGAAAAAGCGATGAAGCTCGTGAAGGCGTGCGTGGCTCTCCACAACTTTCTGGCATCCACTGAACGTGCCAGATACATGCCCGCCACCTTTGTGGATGCGACGCCTGACACCGGAGAGGTCCAGCCTGGAGAGTGGAGTGGAGGCAGCACGTTGTTGGGGACCAGAACATGGTCGACGGACCACGGTTTTCGGTCGGCAGCAGCAGACCCTCCCGGAGAGCGGCACTTGTCAGGGAGCAGCTGGCTGATTACTTTTTATCAGATGCTGGCGTGTTTCCCCACCAATACAGTGTGCTACGATTGGGTAGCACTGACAAATAAATTGATAAAAGTTCGATTTGAAGCATGAGTTTTTTTATTATTATTTAACACTTTACACATTTTAACTTATTTGGTATTGTGTGAAAACCATTACACATTTTTTATTATTTGGTATTATTTAAATTATGTAAAAACCATTACACATTTTAACTAATTTGGTATTTTAATTCATTAATTCATATCCATAAATCATTAATTCATATAACCAGGCTGGTAAATTTGTCACGGGCACTTTTCCCGTCCGTTTTCACCTGATTCTGTCTTTCCCATCGCGATTGCAACCTCTCTCCAGGCATTTTCCAACACAATTTTATTTGAGTGTACTAATTGTGGTGAACTGTCGTATAAATGCGGATGATATTAAATGCTGGTAAGCTTGTATAATTATTCCTCCTCGCACGCCATTGTATTCAAACCTTCTTCTTCTGTTAACATGATATATTTGAATTAATGTACAATTCTTACAATGTCGCCCCCACCGATAACGCATAGTATTGCGTGCATCAGTGCGTCGCGTATCAAAAACTAGGACGACACATTTGGCTACGCATCGACGCATAATGGCGGCCAAAGCGTAGCGATGCATAGATCTCCACCGGCTCCAGCATCCTCACACCCAATATAGCGTATACTAGCCGTTCCTTATGTGTACGTGTACAGATGTGACGTAATGACGCAAAGACATGCTCGAATCTCCACTGGAGTCCCACTGCCTGGAGTCAAAAACATTTTCATAAGCTTACCGCTTTCAATCGAGCTAAAGCAAGCAGAGAGTTTTGAACACTGGCTGGTTATGTATTTTCTCCAATATGTAATTTGGATTATTTTTAACCCCCAAAAAAGCTACGGACTGCAGCTTTAAGGATTCGGGTTGGATAAATGATTCAGTGACTCAATCATTGAGACTTGCTGCCACCTACTGACGGTTTTAGTTTTCAATTTACAATTTTTTCCCAACATGTTCGCATTTCTATATGTCCCGAGTTTTATTGCCAATTAAAAATATTATTTAATCTCATTACATTATTTATGCAATTGAGCACCATTAAACTGTCAGTGTAAATATCTAAATGTCACTTTATGCCATTTATGTGCGCCGTTGGCAGTGCTAAGATGGATTTACACTGATAGTAGCATTAGCCAGTTATTTATTCACATTAATAAAGTATTTAGTGGAAAATCTCGTCTATTTTCAGCTAACGTTAGGCTTATGGGATTTTTTTTAAACTAGCATTTAAACGAAAACTATAAATGAAAACCGAAAATGCAAAAACAAAAGATAATTCAAAATGTTAAAAACCGAAATATCTGCCTACCTATCTCAGTCAGTCATGTCTGTCAAACGGGTCACGAAGTGGTCACGTCATGTAAATGGAGAGCATCATTTGAATATTAAGATACCCCTTTCATGCTGAGATAATCCAGGAGTCGCTGCAGCACCATCTGTGCACACACGTGACCAGCACTACATGACAAGAAAAAGCGGCTGTGTGACTGTGTCCCAATCATAGACTGTAAAAAGGTCCCAGTTCAAACTAGGCTGCTTCCTTCGAAGGCCCTGACGGTCGGACCTGGGACGGTCTAGTTTACGGAGGACTGTTCTTGTCGCCTAGCAACTGTGACATCTGCCATTGAAGAGCGACAGTAACGTTTGTTTTGGACTTTTTTTTTTTATTAAACTGTCTGAAAATAAAATGAGGTTTACAAACTGTCTAAATATGTTCACCATGGTCCATTTCTGCATATAAGAGTATATAGAACTATATACCAATACATCTTAGTAAGATATGTCAACATTTGAACCTAATTTGCTTTGAACCCCAATACTTAAGCTTAAAGGAGTAGTTCACTTTAAAAAAAAAACTTTTGCTGATAATTTACTCACCCCCATGTCATCTAAGATATCCATGTCATTCTTTCTTCGGTCGAAAAGAAATTAAGGTTTTTGATGAAAACAGTCCAGGATTTTTCTCCATATGATGGACTTCAATGGGAACCAAACGGTTGAAGGTCCAAATGACAGTTTTGGTAATATAATTTGAAAGTTTCTCTCTCTCTCAAATAATAAATCCTGTCGTCATGCCGTTCAATGAATTTTGTAATAGGCAAGGCCACAAAGAATCCATCTGTTGTATTCATCCTTCTCAAAGGAAGTACACATTTGGGGGAGCCTTCAAATTGGGACAGTCTTTGTCTAGCAGCGGTGATGCAATCGGCCTTTCGAAGGATGCAGCCTCTGAATTAGGAACAGCAAAATAGTCAGTTGTATGATAAACAGGCTACTCGTGTGGTTTTCCACATCACAATAAAGTCATTAACATCAGCAGAACACAAAATGCTTGTACTGTTATACCACTGTAAACGTGAGCTGAAAAACTGTCATGTCCATTTGCACATTTACATTTGCTCCATTTTTTTTTCATTCTCCAAAATGAATTGATGCAACACAATGCCAGTATTTATAAGCCATATTTTTTATTTGCAGCCATCAAACTGTATTCTGCATTTTTAGCATACATATACATACAAAAATGTGATTGTGAATTTGTTTTACTATTCCAATTTCACACAATGTAACAAGATAGATAGATAGATAGATAGATAGATAGATAGATAGATAGATAGATAGATAGATAGATAGATAGATTTTTTTTAATTATGCTACTGTCTCTTTAAATTTTAGCCGTCTATAGGAATGCCTGTTCTAAATGTTTCCACGAGGGAAAAGACAACGTATCATATTCCCAAACACACGGTGCCTACACGCCTAAGCTCAAATATTTCAACAATTCGATGGGTTAAACGAACAACATTAGCATTATTTCAATTGATCCCGAATTTTCCAGCAGGCGATCTGCGAGTAGTGCAACTGGTCCTGCTTAGACTGCTTCACTCAGAACCGAATGTGTTTTCGGGAGGGAAACTTCACAGCTTTGGTACCGAGTCGAACACGGTTCCAGTGAGCGGGCCCAGAAGACGAATAACACTGGGATTCACAAGGTAAGACGGTTCTGTCCACATGGGAGAGGCATTATTGTGTTTTGGTAACTAGTAAACGGTCGCATCGGGTTTGTTTGGTATGGTTGCTGTGTGAACGCGCGCTCGCGTCAAAGGAAGTCGAGTTTCTTTGTCCTGCGCGCTCATGAACAGCGTTCCATCGCTGGACTCCATATTTATTGACATTTTATGATGTCATAATGTGAAGTTAAACCCTTCCTTGATTATAGTGGCATACTATGGAGTTAAAAACCTGTTATATCATAGTGTAGAGGGAAATTCTATCACGAGCGCCTAAAACCCTATATTATGACGCCATAATTATGAATGTAAAGGTAATATTATGACACCATAAGCTGGAGTTTTACCCTTTATTATATCGATGCAATCGGAGATTAATAACCTCAGTTTTCATTATGTGTGATTGATTACATAGTGTGTGACGTAACATCTTGATTATGATGTCAAATTTTAGA